TTTGGGATTCGACAAACCGTCTAATTAACGAATCAAGGGTCGTTAATTTCGACCAATCATCAGTGATAATAATAAGCAATTACAATCGAGATTAAGTTTTCTCGCCATTTACCAAGGTCATTTTAATATAAAATATTATGTTTATTAGAAGTTTGGTTGTCTCGTAATGAACGTTGATGCTGTCTCTCTTGTATTGGTTATGTATGTTTTGTAACTGTCGTCGAACCGCCTTCCAAAAATACTGTTTTTTTTCTAAACTGTATTATTTAATTTTGGAACGTCCATGAACAATTATGAAATTCAAGTTTGGAAAATTACTAATGATACGAAATAACTTCCTGCATAATCAAGCCGATTACTGGTATATGTATAATGCTTTTGTTAGTAAGCAAAGGCTTGATAATTTTACAGCTAGTTTGAAAAATATGCATTTTGTATTTAGCATAATGGAAAATATTAACTCTGTAAAACCAAGACTCAGCCTGTCTAAAATGCAAAGGAAACCCATCACCAAGGCTGCGAGTGGCTATAAACCTGTTCTCTGACCATGAATTACTGCATTATTCATTGCTATTGACATATGTAGGCGATATATCAATAAGCAAATGTCATCTGTATATAATGAAGGTATACAGGCGCGTGAGATTTCTTTAAAATTACATGACCATGAAATGTCGGAAACTTTATGTTACAACCCGAATGAAAATATTTACAGAATGTAATTAGTTTTATTGCCATCGAAGTGCCAGAATACGAGCACACAAACGTTAACGTTAAAAAATATAATAAATCACACTCGCTGTTTAGTAGGTGGGGTATTATCGTGCTTGATATACCTATAAAACACCAAGAGTGATCACCTTAACAATGTATTTGTTTAAAGATATAAACTATTAGTAATACGAAACCGCTGAAATACTTTTAAAAGCTTTTGCAAAGGCAAAGGCCAAAATGTTTATCGTATTTGAAGCATGTCAAGTAATTATTATTGTATATTTTTCTAAAGATGATAATTGTACGATGCGGTAATATTTTCAGATTGTCATTTCCAACCAACGCATTATCTGGTGCTGTCAACTTTCAGTTATCGACATATATAAATATATAATGACGAATATTCTCTGAATAGAGTAGAGCATCATTGACACAAATACTTGTATTGTATTATATTAGAATTAGTCGACAATATATCACAGATAATTATGAATTCAATTTTATCCATGCACTGCTATGCTGTGTAGTTCAAGTGAAGTGTCGTGAACAGTGTTTGGTTTGTAAACTTTTTCAGTGATTCACATTAAATTTAATTAACCTGTTTGTATCTCATTGATCATGGTTTCGCCTTGAGGATGAATGAACTATAATATTGTTTGAATGATCTGTTAACGTCATGTAACAAAATTGAAAGTCCCGGCGAAAATCTGTTCTACTGATAGACATCAAGACTAGAACAAAGGAGAATCATATAAGGCAATCATGTTTAAATCAACCTAGAATGCAACTTTCCTGGAAAAAATTTACTATATCAGCTGTTTACGGGCTCCAATGACACGATTTCAGACAATGCTCATAATATGATTCGCGCCAACTCAGAGGTTCATGCTTGTTCGGCTTTTATGTGTAATCCTATTTGAATATGTTGGAAAACAACAATATGTCCATAACTATTCTCAAGGGAAAGAATATTGTTTATATTAGAGACAATCTTATACTACATTAAAAATGCAAATGATTTGTAGAGAACTTGTTAGAGGTAACAAGTACAATGCAAACTATACTACTGGAGTGTAGTGGTGATGAATCGCGGAATACCAGAAGATGCCTTCCGCTCACCCGATGTTTTTCATTATTCGCCTCTGATATGGACAAGCCCACACATGACACTAGTTTGTGATAACATTCTAGCACGGACACAGGTAAGGTAGATACGTCACATTTTTATTGTTTCCCTCTGGAAGATCGGTCATATTGGCAAAGTACTCTACATGGTATCCTTAAAATAACACCGCAGAACTCGTCACTTCACATCTTGTAACCAAAGACAACCCCAATCCACCCCTTTTTTATGTATAAATCAAATGCTGGCCATACTGCCAACCGACGATGAGACGATTAGTTAATTAACACATGTTTGAGGGATGGTGGTCATGACAGCCCTAGGACAGATAACAAATCGTGATATTACCCGAATGCCATGTGTTATTTATTTTATCACATGACCAGGCATCCACCATGCACAAATACATCTACAATACACCATTATCACATCTCACTGCTGTTACGCATGCTGTGATTGGTTGAGACTCGTTCACATGACATTGAATACAAATGAATACATGTGTATTACATGGTATATTGCCCGCCAAGTGGATAATACATGGGTATATCACATGGATGACGTCACTGAAACTACTGCGCATAACAAATTGTCGTTGGCTGCACTGGTGCTGCCCGGCCGCTGTTGTTTTTGGGGTTGCTCTCAAGGTTTTGAAGGAAATTTAGCCATCCAAAATAGACAGTGAACGTGCCAGAATGGATATTAAGTAAGATGTTCTGTTTTGATGTTTAGGTTATTTATTATATGAAGCAAAAATGTACGACAAAGCCGCCACTGAAACGTCGCAGCCGGGGTCTCTGAATCATCTGATAATTTAATTCAACCCACTCTTTGACATGATCTCACAACAAGTGAAGTAGTAAGTGTATTCGCATTATGTTGTCTCATTTCCAATATCTAGTTTTAGGTAGCCATGATGATGTCAATGACCTTAACTATAACATTACTTACCACGATTGAATGCGGCATGGTGTATTATAATTCAATACCAGTGGCTGGTATGGAATTAATTCAATGTGGTTGCAGGGCAGCTTAGTCATAAAAAAAGAATTAATGGCACCGACATGACATATGCCCGAAACAATAACCCAATTCATCCTTGTCAAATGAAAGAACACGTCACATGATAGGCAAACAATTCGCTACGTGTAAAACAAATCGATGACATAAAGTGCAAAACAGCGAAAAAATACATTACTAAACATGGTCAACTCATTAGGAAAAAGATGTGTTGAATGTAACCAAGAAACGTGTGCACATTATAACCCGATTTTAAAACTCCATATTTGTCAACCACCGTAGATGTACCATTTACTCAACAGCATTAATATTGAGACAAGTCTCGCGGACAGACATCCGGATATTTTCACCGCCTGGCAACCATCACGGTGAAAACAAAGGCCGAAAATTCTCAGAAAACGATACTTTGGGGTGGCTGTTTGGACAGTGTAATAAGATTATCTTTGCGTGTGCAAAATATACTTCAAAGTTGAGTTTATGTTATGTTGTGTTTTCGAATTTAGCTATTTTCACTGGCCCTTGGACCGGCGTTCCACTGAGAAGCTCTCCCAGGGCCCATAGAAATACATGGTACAGTGGTGCGCGTCTTAGCAACGTCTTGTGACGTAGCTCCTGCAGAGAGGATATCTCATTTTCGTCTATTAGATGTGGTGGATAATTCCTTTAAACCAGCATTGACAGCATTATATTTTTTGAGATTTAGATTCTGAAATACTTTCTAATTAATCAATTAAGAAAGACGTGGCGAGTTTTCACGATGAGATATCGGTTCGTCTGATAACCTCATTATCACACATAGTGCCATCGATTTGGGTTTTCTGTGGAAGAAATAAAA